CATCTTCTTGGTGCTTCCTCCGTTGCTCGGGCGTGGAGTGGAGGCTTAGACTCAATATTCAATGGTGCAATAAAAAATTCTACTCTCAAGCATATAGGATATTTAAGTCATGATAATGTGTGGTTGTCGGACTATCCAGACTTTGTGGCGTTTGCGGCAACTGTCGTGGTTTTTATTGTAGTGGCAACAGGGGCCAAATTTGCCATGAACTTTAACAATATCTTCACAATAATCAATTTAATAGTCATAGTGATAATTATTGCAATGGGGTTCTATTACGCCGATGTAAAGAATTGGACGGAGCATGGCGGATTTTTCCCTCACGGGTTTGGTGGCGCATGGGCAGGGGCAGCCACTTGCTTTTACGCATACATCGGATTTGAAGGTATTGCAACCGCTGGCGAAGAAGCTAAAAACCCCGAGAAATCCATTCCCATAGCAACCATTTTATCTTTGGGCACTGTCACTGTTTTATACGTACTTGTGACGAGCGTTTTGACCTTGATGGTCCCCTATACAGACGTAGATCCGAATGCGGCGTTTCCATTTGCGTTCGCAGCACAAGGTGCAGAATGGGCGAAATATGTTGTTGCCTTAGGCACGTTATTTGGAATCACCACTTCTCTACTAGGCGGCGCTTTCTCTCTACCGCGGGCCGTCTATTCCATGGCAGCAGATGGCTTGCTCTTCCAGATCTTTGCCTACGTTCATCCAAAAACGCAAACACCCATCTGGGGGATCCTCTGCTTCGGTTTGCTCTCGGCCCTGATGGCCCTTCTGTTTGAAATAGAGACTCTGGTAGAGTTCATGTCCATCGGAACTATCTTAGCGTATACCATTGTCGCTGTGTCTGTAATCATCCTAAGATATGCACCCGTTCACAAATGTCAATTCAAACTGAAACCTCAAGAAGAAAAAGCAGACGATAATACCAGCATGAGTGAAGAAAGCGCGATCATGAAGAAATCCAAAAGTCATGATGACTTTGGCAAACTGAAAGATCATTTAAGACATTTACCAATATTAAAATCATTTGATCCTGGAAATGCCACTATTTTAGCAATCTTGTTGATGGTGGTGGCAATAATTTGTTTCTGTGCCATCCTGGTGCCCGGATATCAATATTTGGCAGATGGTGCTTGGTGGGCAATCGTTTTAGAGATCATTTTTGGTGCAATAATAGTCCTATGTTTTCTGATATTGATCGCCCATGAGAAGAACGATGCCTTCCTAACTTTTCAGGTAATAAAAATTATCAGGCTTATCAATTATTACATGTATATCTATTCATATTTCTTTTATCCGTAAAATATTGGAGCATCTGATCATTATGGTTAGCTTAATTGATATTTTACGGTGGAAGTGTCGACTCTCCAATATGGTGATAAATGAACATCAGCTTCTCCCATATAATATCGATAATTATTGATAGTTTTACGGACGTAAAAACATTATCCAATGCCTATTTCATGAAGTAAATGTTGTACTGCTAACCGGTAAATTAAAGATTTACAACATAACACCTAAACGCAATGGCCACTAACCTAAAGAGCTACAGTAGTGTACCATATTTTAAGAAAAAAAATTCTCTCTATATATTTCATTGAAAACAACATTTTTAAAATCACTTTTTGGTCAAATTTTTGTCCAATTTAATTACTTATTTCGGTACCAGAAAATGTTTAGTTACCTTTCTTTAAAATATCGTTACATATTTAGTTTTTAGTAAAAAATAGTTCATCATTTAACATCAGTTCAAAAAGTCAAGATCAATGTTGACTATTTAATTCATTGTGAGTATGTGACTAATTAAAATTTCACGTGGCACTTAAATTAGTGAAGATCTATTATATTTCTTACACTGTTTTCGTGGTTATTCTACGGTGTTTTTTTTGTACATGACCGTGTATTCTCTTTGCAGATTCCATTTGTTCCATTAATTCCCTGTCTCAGCATTTTTTGCAACATCACCCTAATGATGAAGCTAAACTATTTAACGTGGATACGGCTAGCAATATGGCTGGTTATAGGTAAAGTATCTGTCACAATAAACTACCATTGTACTTCTGTAATGACAAAGCCTCTAAATATCATGATAAATCAATGACAAGCTAGGAAATTCCCAGGATAGCGAAACTTTGAATTACAAATCCGACAAGAAGTTTGGTCACGAACTCGTTAATGAACGCCTATTCCGTAATATCGATTATTTTGATGAAAAAACTTTTAACTTTTGCCGGATGTATTTAATCCTGACACTGCTTTTCCCATTTTTTCAAAATCCGTTTCTCTGTTTTATTATTGTAGGTTTATTGGTGTACTTTCTATATGGTGTTTGGCATAGCCGAGAGCGGGAGACGCCTCAGTACGGGGAAATCGTGGGGTATACAGGGGACGCCAGTATATCTTGTAGCACCATAAGCAAAATGGAGGAGGAAATCGTTCAACAGCAGCCTAAACGCGCCGAAGGCGAGGAAGTTCATATAGGCGTCGGTGAATTATAAAAAAAACCCTAATATGTTCTAATCTGCTTTATAACCAAAGAGCCGTGAGAAAGACATCAAGGTTCAGAAATGACGTATGGATCTTCAATCTGTTTTTTTTCATGGCTGTTGAGGAAAAACATCAAAACACAACATTCGTGACATTCATTTCCACTGTTTGAACAAAATCGTAAAGTTTCTCAAATTAGGATATATGAAACTTTTGCAAGTTTTTTTTCTATTTCTGCTCAAAAGCAATTAATCGCAGCAAATACCGCTGGCTGCATAATACTGTTATAGTAAAACGTATTTACTTCGCTCGGGAAATACTGTCTTGGTACTTGTAAAATATTACATATATTTAATATATTTTTGTGCCAATAGATAGAAAATATGTTTTATTACATTACTGCTCAAAAGCAATTATGGTATAAATACAAAGGGAAAAGTTCTAAATATATTCTTTATGAGGTACTAATGAGAGTTTAATTACATGAAGAATGCATCTTTTTATTTTTAGTTTCAACAGGTGAATACTTATTTTAGCCTAATTGTTCTTTTTATTTTTAGTTTCAACAGATGAATACTTGTTTTTAGCTTAATTGTTCTTCAATTTAAAGATTTACAAGGAGCTAGGTAAAGTGAAAAATCATTAACTTCAACAAATATGTGTTGTAACAAATAATGAACGACATAAAGTTTGTAGGAAATAAAATAAAATATAGATATTGGGGGCACATTCACAGTATCTCAAATTCAGTGAGTTCCCATGTACATGTACTTGTTTTTGTAATAAAATAATACCCCAAAATACAATAATAACGTGTTGTTATCATACTATATGGGGGGAAATTTTTCAGAAGTTTCTATTGATTTTTGTTTTAATGCTGATGGGTTCGGTTAAGCTTATGGTAGTTTTCTAGACATAAGTATAGAGGGTAGTTGAATATATAGACTGTAAATGTAGAATTCCTTATTTTCTGTGTTGATATCATGTTCGCCAAAACTACAACTATTTATTGTTTCATGTTATTTCAGAGATATATATGTATATTACTGTTGTCTTCATTAAAAGAAATACTGTTGTTTGTGCTCATTGTAAATGTTTACCTTGACAGTGTGCAAAACTTTTTGACCCCGAATCCAGTTAAATACCAGTGGCGGATCCAGGACTCTGAAATGGGGGGCAACCAGTTTGGGGTCTGGTAGGGGCCCACAGCCACCCACACACACACAAATGATTCATCAAATATTTTATATGTTTTGGACACAACAGGAGGGGGGGGGCTCCCTGCCCCCTCTAAATCCGCCAATGAATACCGTGATATACTGGCTCTGTAGGAAGCAATTTCAGTTTTCGGGTGACTTGACAAAAAAAGAAATCATGAATTGTTTAAAAATTGTAGAAAAGAAAAATATCATCCTTATAATTATCGTGGAGGCACAACTGTAAATTAAAATTGTTTCTTATGCGCCCGAATCGATAGATCCGGGGCGTATATTGTTTTTGTCCTGTCTGTCTGTCTGTTTGCCTGCAAACTTTAACCTTTGCCATAACTTTTGAACCATCACAGACAGAGGCTTCATATTTGGTATGCATACTCCACTAATAAAGCTCTTTAAAACGACACCAACGTCAATGACCTTGTTACCTTGACTGTGACCTGTATACTAAAAATAGTTTTTTTCTGTAAACTTTAACCTTCGCCATAACATGTGAACCATGAAAATAGTGACTTCATATTAGGTGTGCATACTCCACTAATTTTAAGTTCTTTCAAATGACACGAAGGCCAATGACCTTGTGAACTTGACTGTGACCTATATACTAAAAATAGCTTTTTGTCTGCAAACTTTAACCTTCGCCATAACTTTTGAACCATGAAAGATAGAGTCTTCATATTTGGTGTGCATACTCCACTAATCAAGTTCTTTCAATGACACCAAAGCCAATGACCTTGTGAACTTGAATGTGACCTATATACTAAAAATAGCTTTTTGTCTGCAAACTTTAACCTTCGCCATAACTTGTGAACCATGAAAATAGTGACTTCATATTTGGTGTGCATATTCCACTAATTAAGTTCGTTCAAATGACACCAAGGCCAATGACCTTGTGAACTTGACTGTGACCTACTGTATATGCTAAAATATTTTTTTTTTAAACTTTGTTGCCACATCTTGTTAATTGTATGATATAGACAGCAACATTACCTTAACCCCTCAATCTCCATTTTCTTTTATTGGACTGAAATAAATAAAAGAAAATAGACCTACAAAATGCACAGTATTTGTAGCATTTATAACCTTACCCTTGTTATCCATTTTATATATCTAAAGGGTTGAGAACAGTTATAACGGAAATTGACATATAACGAAATAGCACAGGAATCATTTATTAATAATATAAATGCCAATGGCATACATGCATACATGTATGAAATATATATGAAAAACTTGAATTTAATTAACACCTGTCCTCTTTCTCTGACAATATATGAGCAAAGGTAACATAAAGAGATGTATCCGTTGTTGTTGCATATTAAGTATTTATATGCATATAATTTTCTTTAAAATGCTTGAACTTATCATGAATACAGACCCGTAGGAAGAAGTGAATCGAGGTCTAGAAACTATTATCTTGGATTTAACATGTTTCCTATTTATTATAATTTGGATTTTTTTTTTTTTTTTGGAAAAGGGAGGGGTGCAAGTCGAACTACAACACAATGTTGATCTACATCGTTAAAAATTTAACCATTATTTATACTTGAGAAAAATACTTTTCAGAAAATCTGATAAGATGAAAACAACTAAACATAATATACAAACAAACTAACAAAATATAAATATGTGCAATATAACATCGGGTTCGGAATTCCCAAAAGTCTTCATGTTACATGCCCATAAAAGAAAGACGAGAAAAAAATCGTAGAGGTATGAATGGTGTTAAAAAGAATTAATCTTGTCAGATTTAAAATTATTTTATCTTTACCAAGGCTAAAAAAATAACTTTTCATTTTTTATCATTAAAAAACTGAATAATACTCTGAACATAACTAAAAATGAGCCTCTATCATTTGTGTGCAGGCACTGACTGAGGAAGGGAATGTTAATAGTTTATCCCTTTTATCACAGGCGCTTGTTTCATAAAGTACGCTAGTTTTCTACTACATATAGTAGAAAACTAGCGTATTTTATGAAACATCAAACAAGCGCCTGTGTCTTTTATTCACTTTTAAATGTTTCACCTGAGGCATACTTAATTTACTCATGCAAACTTACATGTATGCTGTTAATATGAGGTCTATGAAATGAAAATTTCTTTATGTGTTTGTGGGTGTGGTTTTTTTTTATTTTGCATGTTTTTATTAACTTCAAGTGGAATGATTCATGAAATACAAGGTGTTGTACATGTACATGTATGTAGGGAAACCTTAAATATGTATGTGTACCAGGTGTACAGTGGACTAAGTGGAGCCTCATTTATCCAGATGCTTTGGTTCCTAATTAATTTTTCCGGATATGTGAAGCGTCCAGATATCTGAATTACCAGTTAAACAAGACAAAATAACATTAAAAAATTCCATTCCAATGAAAAGTCGTCCAGATACTGAAGCATCCGGATATCTGGCGTATGTATATATGAAGGTCCATTGTACATAGTTATGCAGGGTTCTCGAGATTTTTAACTTAGGCTGCTCAATGACGGTAATCTGAATGCAAAATAGGGACCTTTTAAAGGCTTTTTCCCAATTATCCTCAGTAATGATAAAAGTTGATATGTATACAGTCAGTCAGTGTAATAATTATTAACACCAGAAAATCCAAATATGAAGAGTTTGTTGACTCAGAAATGGGTATTTACAAATTTTTCCAATTTAAATTGCCCTTGTACCCTTGTCAACTGTCAAAGAGTAATACAGACCATATCAATTTGAAATCAATAAATGCTTACTAATAAAATAACATGATGGGATTAATTATACTAAAATCTTTCAGTAACATTTCTATTTGTAGATAGCTTTGATCAGTAAACTGACCCAATTTCAATGACAGAGCTGAAAACATCCAAATTTGTGTTGGATACATGTCTCTGGGTCAATGAAGATGTCGGGTGACATATTTCAGTCCTTGGAAAACAACACCAGTATTGATGTGACTAAGTGGAATCCCTTGCAGTGTTACCTTTGTAACGAGAAATATGATGACCCCTGTATATTGTTGTGTTACCATAGTTACTGCTCCCAGTGTCTGAGAGGTCGGGCCAGTGAGAACAAACTCAGCTGTCCACTATGTGGGTGAGTTAGAGTAATGGGATTATTTGATGTTCTACCAGTTTTAATTTAAACCAGTTCTAATTCAAAGCATGTCATTTCTCATAGTAGTGCCTGGAGATGTCTTAAGGAAATTTATCACAAAAGATTCTCAGTTATCTTTCATGCTTAAGAGTTAAACTTCATAGTTTAATTAAGTTATGCATTATCACATGTATATTACATACATGTACAGATTATACTGATTCAGACATATTTTTTTTCAAAAAACAAGTTTTGAATGTTTATAATACTTCATAAAAATGTCAAAGAAAGATGAACGAAAAGAGCTGAAATATATTAATTTTTCTTGAACTTTTAAAATTGTAAAAGATCTTATCTCATGCAGAGCTGGGGCCCCTGCTGGGCATTGTCCTTTTCTTGCACACTCTTCTCTTAAAGATCATTGAATTTCAAACGGCTATTTAGTTTGCTTAATTTTTCTGACATCACTAGAAACATAACAGTAACTACATGTATAAACAGGTGAATCTGACTGTGATGCATTTTCCAATTTCCAGGTGTGTAACGAATCTGAAGGATTCAGAGTCCTTGCCTTCTTCAGATCATCTGATGAAATTCCTGGTGGATCAAAGTTCACGAGAAGATATGGAGCCATGTGCCAATTGTGATGAGGTTCATGATAAATTATTTTGCTGTCTGCGATAAAAAGATCAAACCATGTTTGCAAACTTATTTAAAATGAGTTTTATGTTACTCTCTGACATTTTAACAACTGACAGAATGAAATTACTTGATATTTATTTAAAAATAAATATGCCATTACATGTATTAAGATGCACTTTTGATATATAGGTCATCACAGTCAGTGCAATGGATGATCATTGATTGAAAAATCCACCCAAGTTTTCATTCTACAAAGCTGATCTTGTGTTTCTTTATTTTACCAACTTTATTTTTGTTTAACAGGCTTCATCAGAAATGTTTTTCTGCAATACTTGCTCCCAGGCGCTGTGTCTGACCTGTCGTACAGAAACCCACAAAGCCAAAATGTTTGCCAGTCATGACGTGATAAATCTATCCAAAAGGACGAAAGAGGTTCATCGGGAATGTCGTAAGACTCCTTACAAGAAATATTTGCACTGTAATACAGTTGAACTTAGGCACCTTTAACAACAGTATCTCAAATATTATGGATATTTTAAATTCATTTAGAAGACTTAGTCCTTTTGATTTTGGGATTTAACCCTTCAAGTTTGAGATAACCAGGTTTTACTGTATTTCATTACACTGTTTGTTACATTCAGTTTTAGAATCACAATTCAACCAAGTTTTCCAATGGATTCACAAAAAAAGAAAACCTTTCCCAGATAACAGCTTTGTCCATGAATTCGCAATATCCATGTGAACACTAAACGAGCTTTACTGTAATAGATTTTTAGCAAATTTTAGAGGTAGCCTACTATAGCCATGCAGTCTAAAGTAGATAGGCTTTACATAAATAAGTTTCAGAAAAAAAGTTTCATCAGTGCAGGCAGGAAGATAATTTAAAGAGAATATAACATGAATAGCTTTATTTTTTGCAGTAACTCATAGGGAACCTTACATCTTGTTTTCAACTGAAAAGAAAGCCATGCTGTGTATAAACTGCTTCAGGGACATGAAAATGTAAATATTTAAACCCATAATTTATCATTTAATCCATATGGTTATTTGGAAGATTTTTAATCATTTCTTCAAGGCTATTCTTGTGATTTATTGCTTTGGTTATGTTTGACAGGGAAAGCCGGTCTCACTGTATGGATCTAGAAACAGCTTACACTCAGGGATGTAAGAAGCTGGACCAAAGGATGCAGGTACACTTAAATTAAAAAGAATGAACTGTTTATAAATTACCCAAAAGTTAAAACTAGATTTGGGCAGCTTAAAATTTATAAAGTAGGAACTGTTTTTAAAAGAAAAAAATTCATGTATTTTGCAAACATGCATGAATTTACTGTTGCATTCTAAACATATGCAAGGAATTTTTTTATCATATGATTTTGTGAGAAGTACAGCTTGCAAAATAAAATTACTTTTATGTTCATGGTGTTTAAACCCATGTGAAACTTCTTGATCAACTATCCACATGCAAATTATTGTTCTCATGATTTGACAGTTGAGAGCAAATTCACAATACATACATGTTAAAAGTACTCAAGAAAATGATAAGTCTACAGAATATCACAAGAGGAAAGGGAAAATTGAGCATTTCTTGTGATTTTGGGTAGCAATGTGGATTGAATTTGGTGATTATGCCTCTTTAGAAGAAATAATCACTTGTGTTATACTTATAACATGGTATGATATTTGTGTTTTCAGGCTGTTAGAGAACTTCAGAATTCCGCTAGAGACACCATATTCCTCCTGAAGGCCTTGCTCACAGAGATACAGAAGAGCTCTGAGGACGAGAAGAAAGCCCTCACAGATCTGTATGACCTCATGATGGAAAAAATCACCGAAATGAAAACGGAGCTTCTGAAAGAAGTTGACAAGTAATAGCTTAAACAAATCTGTTGTAATTTGATTCATGAATGCTGTATATCACATAGCGTATCTCAAGTTATCCATTTTGTAGACGAACATGTACCTTTTCTGATCTGTGATTTTAATAGAAAGCTTCTAAGTTTATATTCATATAAGACACATTTATAATGTGTGTTAGAAGAAGGTATAACAAGGTGGGTGGGGGGGGATTCAGAAACACCTGTGATATTAAAGGTAAAAAAGTAAGACCTTTGTCAGTAATTAATAGAACCACATCTGACATATTTCAGTATTTATTATACCCCATGCAACTAGTTGCGTGAGATATAATGTTTTTGACCCGTCCGTCAGAGTGTCAGAATGTCAGAGTGTCAGTCAGTCCTTTTTTTTTTGTCAGCGCAACTCCTAATAAACCGCTGTACAGAATTTAGTCAAACTTTGCAGGTATTTAGGACACAATGTGTAGATGTGCATATTACCAGGAAATTCCGATTCCATTATTTTTTCCGGGAATTTCCGCACTTTTTAACTTAGGCATTTGGCCATACCTTGAATACAGAGATAAACAGTTTGTCAGTGCAACTCCTCATAAACCGCTGCACAGAATTTCGTCAAACTTTGCAAGTATTTAGGACACAATGTGTAGATGTGCATATTACCAGGAAATTCCGATTCCATTATTTTTTCCGGGAATTTCCGCACTTTTTAACTTAGGCATTTGGCCATACCTTGAATGCAGAGATAAACAGTTTGTCAGCGCAACTCCTCATAAACCGTTTCACAGAATTTCGTCAAACTTTGCAGGTATTTAGGACACAATGTGTAGATGTGCATATTACCAGGAAATTCCGATTCCATTATTTTTTCCGGGAATTTCCGCACTTTTTAACTTAGGCATTTGGCCATACCTTGAATGCAGAGATAAACAGTTTGTCAGCGCAACTCCTCATAAACCGTTTCACAGAATTTCGTCAAACTTTGCAGATATTTAGGACACAATGTGTAGATGTGCATATTACCAGGAAATTCCGATTCCATTATTTTTTTCCGGGAATTTCCGCAATTTTTAACTTAGGCATTTGGCCATACCTTGAATATAGAGATGAACAGTTTGTCAGCGCAACTCCTCATAAACCGCTGCATAGAATTTCGTCAAATTTTGCAGGTATTTAGGACACAATGTGTAGATATGCATATTACCAGGAAATTCCGATTCCATTATTTTTCCCGGGAATTTCCGCACTTTTTAGCTCACCTGAGCCGAAGGCTCAAGTGAGCTTTTCTGATCACATTTTGTCCGGCGTCTGTCTGTCCGTCTGTCTGTAAACTTTTCACATTTTCGACTTCTTCTCAAGAACCGCTGGGCCAATTTCAACCAAACTTGCCACAAAGCATCCTTGGGTGAAGGGGATTCAAGTTTGTTCAAATGAAGGGCCACGCCCTCATTCAAGGGGGGATAATTGGCAATTAATGAAAATTTGGTGGCATGTTTTAAAAATCTTCTTCTCAAGAACCACTGTGCCAGGAAAGATGAAACTTTGGGGAATCATCCTCAGGTAGTGTAGATTCAAGTTTGTTCAAATCATGACCCCTTAGGGAAGGGCGCCGTCACAATAGCCACCAAAGTTTTACATAGAAATATGAAGGAAAATTCTTTAAAAATCTTCTTCTCAAGAATGACCAAGCCATAATTCATAGAAATATATAGGAAAATTCTTTAAAAATCTTCTTCTCAAGAATGACCAAGCCATAATTCATCATATTTATATGGAAGCATCCTCAGGTAGTGTAGATTCAAGTTTGTTCAAATCATGACCCCCGGGGTAGGGCGGGGCCAAAATGACCGACCAAAGTTTTACATAGAAATATGTAGGAAAATTCTTTAAAAATCTTCTTCTCAAGAATGACCAAGCCATAATTCATCATATTTAAATGGAAGCATCCTCAGGTAGTGTACATTCAAGTTTGTTCAAATTATGACCCCCGGGGGTAGGGCGGGGCCAAAATGGCTGACCTAAGTTTTACATAGAAATATATTGGAAAATTCTTTAAAAATCTTCTTCTTAAGAATGACCAAGCCATAATTCATCATATTTATATGGAAGCATCCTCAGGTAGTGTAGATTCAAGTTTGTTCAAATCACGACCCCCGGGGGTAGGGCGGGACCAAAATGGCCGACCAAAGTTTTACATAGAAATATATAGGAAAATTCTTTAAAAATCTTCTTCTCAAGAATGACCAAGCCATAATTCACCATATTTGTATGGAAGCATCCTCAGGTAGTGTAGATTCAAATTTGTTCAAATCATGACCACCGGGGGTAGGGAAGGGCCAAAATGGCCGACCAAAGTTTTACATAGAAATACATGTATATAGGAAAATTCTTTAAAAATCTTCTTCTCAAGAATGACCAAGCCATAATTCATCATATTTATATGGAAGCATCCTGTAGTGTAGATTCAAGTTTGTTCAAATCATGACCCCCGGGGGTGCCAAAATGGCCGACCAAAGTTTTACATAGAAATATATATAGGAAAATTCTTTAAAAATCTTCTTCTCTAAGATAGAAAATCCATGATTGTTCATGGGACTACTTTTGGATTTTACCTTTTCAATAATAAACCAATTTATACTTTGCCTATCCACAGTGCTCAGGTGAGTGATGTGGCCCATGGGCCTCTTGTTAACTTAAGCATTTGGCCACACCTTGAATATAGAGATGAACAGTTTGTCAGCGCAACTTCTCATAAACCAGTGCACAGAATTTCGTCAAACTTTGCAGATATTTAGGAAACAAAATATGTAGATGTGCATATTACCAGGAAATTCCTATTACTTTATTTTTTCCGGGAATTTCCGCACTAAAAACTTAGGTTTTGGCCATACCTTTTATATAGAGATGAAAAGTTTGTCAGCGCAACTCCTCATAAACCGCTGCATAGAATTTCGTCAAATTTTGCAGGTATTTAGGACACAATGTGTAGATGTGCATATTATCAGGAAATTCCGATTCCATTATTTTTCCCGGGAATTTCCGCACTTTTTAACTTAAGCATTTGGCCATACCTTAAATATAGAGATAAACAGTTTGTCAACGCAACTCCTCATAAACCGCTGCATAGAATTTCGTCAAATTTTGCAGGTATGTAGGACACAATGTGTAGATGTGCATATTACCAGGAAATTCCGATTCCATTTTTTTTTCCGGGAATTTCCGCACTTCTTAACTTAGGCATTTGGCCATACCTTGAATGCAGAGATAAACAGATTGTCAGCGCAACTCCTCATAAACCGTTGCACAGAATTTCGTCAAATTTTGCAGGTATGTAGGACACAATGTGTAGATGTGCATATTACCAGGAAATTCCGATTCCATTTTTTTTTTCCGGGAATTTCCGCACTTCTTAACTTAGGCATTTGGCCATACCTTGAATGCAGAGATAAACAGTTTGTCAGCGCAACTCCTCATAAACCGTTGCACAGAATTTCGTCAAACTTTGCAGATATTTAGGACACAATATGTAGATGTGCATATTACCAGGAAATTCCTATTACTTTATTTTTTCCGGGAATTTCCGCACTAAAAACTTAGGTTTTGGTCATACCTTTTATATAGAGATGAATAGTTTGTCAGCGCAACTCCTCATAAACCGCTGCATAGAATTTTGTCAAACTTTGCAGATATTTATTTAGGACACAATGTGTAAATGTGTATATTACCAGGAAATTCTGATTCCTTTATTTTTTCTTAGAATTTCCACACTTTTCAACTTAGATTTTTGGCCATACCTTAAATATAGAGATGAACATTTTGTCAGCGCAACTCCTCATAAACCGCTGCACAGAATTTCGTCAAACTTTGCAGATATTTAGGACACAATGTGTAGATAAGCATATTACCAGGAAATTCTGATTCCTTTATTTTTCTGGGAATTTTGTCACTTTTCAAATTAGATTTTTGGCCATACCTTGAATATAGAGATGAACATTTTGTCAATGCAATTCCTCATAAACCGCTGCACAGATTTTCGTCAAACTTTGGAGATATTTAGGACACAATGTATAGATGTGCATTTTACCAGGAAATTCCGATTCCTTTATTTTTCTTGGAATTTCGGCACTTTACAACTTAGATTTTTGGGATATCTTGAATATAGTGGTGAACAGTTTGTCAGCGCAACTCCTCAGAAACCGCTGCACAGAATTTCATCAAACTCTGCAGATATTTAGGACACAATTTGTAGATGTGCATATTACTGGGAAATTCTGATTCTTTCATTTTTTTCCCGGGATTTTCAGCACTTTGAGTTTTGGGGGAGCGTGGGGTATGTGAGCTTGCTGACTTTTTCTTTCATTTTTCAGGCAGTACCAAGAAAAAGAGAAGGCCTTTAAGAGGGAGTTATCTACCCTGAGCACCCTGTTACCCACCTTACATACTCATCTGGTCACATGTTCAGCCTTCACCAGCTCAGCCAATAGATTTGAATTCCTAGATCTGGCATATGTAAGCATTCCTAGATGTGTATCTAGTGCTCAACCAATAGATTCTGAGTTCTTGGATATGGCATATGTAGGCATTCATTGATGTGTATTTAAAGCTCAGCCAATAGATTCAAATTCCTAGATCTGGCATGTGTAATCATTTTTGAATGTGTATTTAGTGTTCAGCCAATAGATTTGAGTTCTTAGATCTGGCATATGTAGGCATTCATTGATGTGTATCTTTCCAATTTTAATTTTTTTATAATCAGTGTTTTAAAATGTGGTAGTCCAGAGAGGGTATAATTGATCACTGTCTTGCTGTTTCACAAGCACTTCTTATTACTGAATATCTTGATCTACTCTGATTTGATTAACAATTAAGAACCTTATCTTTATATTTTTAGATTTTGATGGATCGCTTGAAATCCCTAATCAATCAACAGCACCCTCTTCACCCCTCACAGAGTGGACAGATTTGTACTGACTATAAAGTTCAGTACTCCAAGTAAGTTCCCAAATATTGACACAAGATAAGTCTACAATTTAGTTTTAAATTTCAAATTACTTTTATCATTGAAAGGATTTGTGAAGATTTAGCATATGACAATAAATGCTTTTATTTGATTTAAATGCTTTTGAATTAATTTATTCTCTTCTATTGTAAAAAGTACAAACCAGCAGAGCTACAGTCTCATCACAGACTTCTGGTTTTTATCATTGGAAGGATTTGTGAAGATTTAACTTATAAAGAAGGATTTGTGAAGATTTAGCTTATAATATTTAATGTTTTTATCATAATTTCATGATTTTATCTTAATTACATTTATTTAGGTGCCTGGAGCCTCTTTTGTTTCCCTCCAGATCTCCCGGTCCACTGAGTAACGTCCGCACCGTGTCCCCCCTCACAGACTCTACCTCTAACATTCCCAGGTAGGAATAGAACAAATACCTCTTTTGACCTAATCATAAATTGAAACTGGGTAAGATTTTGTTTAGGAAAAACCTTTAAAGGTGAAAACTGGGCACTCTGTAATTTTTTAGCATTTGGCAGTTTCTGCTATTTGGAAATTAAGTGTTTGACCATGAACTTAAAATATCAGTGCAACTGTAAGCATAATTCAGCAGTTATTTACCTACATGTACGTGTAATTACATGTAGAAAGAGTATTGGCTATACATGTAATTTTGGTGATTTTCATTTAAATGGTTGGCTCAATCAACATAATGGCAAATTTATGTGAAGAGTTTATCAGACACATTAGGACATAAAATTCATGTATTGATATTTAAAGTCTAATAATTAATAGCTCTTATTATTTTGAATTATCAGTACCCTCCCTATGTCCACCACAATGACTACCCACACCTTGAACTCGCGGCAGCACTTCAGTGGCGGATCTGTCCAGTTTGGTCGCCGCGGTTACACCCTGCCAAAAATATCCTTCACGGACACAAAGAGCACCTTTGCAGAGCATTGTGGGGAATTTGAAGCCTCTCATAAAGTATTAATTAGAAAATTTTTTTTCTAAATTATGAAAATTATTTTTATGATTTTGCTTTAAATTTGAAAAAATTGTATTTCCAAACAAAGAATATTTCATGTATCTTTAATGAAATAAGTTTATAAAGTGGAAATTCATATAACAAATTATAGGATATTAGTAAAGGATGGCAACACAAAATCTTTCAATTTTCTCTATATCTATAAAATCACCATAAGAATTAATTATTTCATAACTTTTTTTCTAATGAAGAATTTTCAAAAATATCTGTAATATGTTTTTTTGTAATTGCAACTTTTTATTATATTTTATAATTAATTGAAACTTGTTTCTAAATGATTAGCTTGTGTGTCAGCGCATCGACAAGCTGAAGTTCGACGTCCAGGAGCTACAGAGAGACCTGACACTCCGGCGATGTCTGATCAAGTCATCTTCTGTACAGGATCTGAGAGAGGAGATCACAGATCTACAGAAAGACTTGGACGATTTATTTCTACTGACCGAGAAAAAACAACCTACACTAGAAAAAGTACGTAAATGATGATGCCCTGAAAAAAAGGAGGGGGTGAGCCCAGTGAGGATGTTGCAATTTTAAGTAGAGTATCTTCCTGCACTTAAATTTAAAAAAAATATGAGAGAAAATGTGGGAAAAGATGTTACATATGTATCAATGAACTTGGAAATTGGTGTACTTTTACTTAAGAAAAGAATTTCCTAAAAAAAAAATTCATTAATTTCATATAATTAAAAAGTACATTTTATCTTAAACAGCACTGGGAAGAAGTTATAAAGAAAATTGCCACAGAACAAGAAATTTACAAAGGTAAAATTTGAAAGATAATTTATAGCAAGTTAAGAAATTGATAAATCTTCTCAACCTTTGGACAGTTGCAAAAATAAGATGAAGCAAATTAAAAATGACATTGATTTGAAATATTTTTGCAAAAATTGTTTTACACAGAAAAAAAAAACATATAGTAAGCTTCCTATCAGTCAAAATTTTTTTTTTTGTCTTTTCAGAAGAATTTTTAGTACACAGTAATTTTGTAAATAAATAGGACATCTTTTTTTTCACCTGAATATTATTTTCCCCTATCAAGTTCTTTTATTTACTTTTAGGTCAGTTGAGTGATATCCTAAGACTGAAGCAGGAGACTGGACACATGAACACGATCCTGACTCAGCTCAACTCCTTTGTCAAGTCTATTTCTTCTGTCACAGAGAGACTGGCTCCAAAGTAAATATCAAAGCTTATATCGATTATTGTAGGTTAACTTTTATGCTTATCTCCCTTTTTTTAGTCAAGCAGAGGTTATATGGTGTTATATCTGCTTGTGAAACCTACATGTACACTGTATATGTTGAGAAATGTACCCCCTCTCACCAACTTTTGTTCTTCAATTTTTGACCTTATCTGAAAACATGAATTCATTTTCATAAACACAAGTTTTTAACTGAACGTTATTTATGACATTTGTAGACTGACACAGTCCAGTCAGGAGAGAGACCATGACAGCAGTATAGCGGCCATGTTTGAGGAAATCAACACCATGCAGCCAGACTCACAACAAAGGTACTGATAAAGTGGAGGTTGGCATTCCAAAACTTTTCAAGACCATCGAATTTGATAAAAATATAATATAGCAATATTTGTGAAAAAACTAAAATTAATAATGACTGTTATTTGCGAAGGTGCAATATTTAGAATTTTGCTTTTTGAATTTTTGATTAGGAATGTGTTTCAAGCTGAAGCAGTTTGTCTTCTTGTTCCCTGCTTTCTATATGCAGTCCTTTATGCAAAAATTTATCCATAGACCTGGAGCACAGCTAGAAAAATTTCTGATTTTTTTTCAGAGTTGATGCTATACGAATGGCCGAGGAAGAAAGAGAAACTCTTACAGCAGTGAACAGAGTTAACCCCCTTGATGAAGAACTAATCAAAACAAAGGGAATGCTAAAAGCTCCCTCGGCCAGAAGAGAAGGCGTTTCCAGGCGGAACTCAACGAAGAGGGAATCTCGTGAATTCAAAGACCCCCCAGCTGCGGAGTCCCCAACCAAGGAGGGTAACTCTGAACCCCCTAGTCCTCTTAAACCAAGTGTTGAATCACCAGAAACGACAAATACCCATAAAGACGATGAGAAATGGACAATTAAAGATGATGAGAAATGTTCCAAGGATTTTGTCAACTCAGATGATGCAAAAAGAAACTTGGAAAATACCTTAGAGGATAAAAATGACTGCATTTATTCCAAAAGTCCTGAAATAATTAAGTCCCAGTGTGATACAGGTGCACCCGAAAGAAAAGATTGTTTTGATGATACAGGTGCTAACAAAATTTGTGTCCCAGATTTGGAAGTCACAGAATGCAATTCAGATACAGAAGTGTTTGAAAGTAATAGAAAAACAGATCAAACTGCTAAAGTAGAAAAATAATCAGTATGGTTGTGAACTGTTAAAAGTCATTTCAGAATGTGCCAACTTTTTTTTCACCACTGATGTTTAAACAGTTATATACTTGGATGTTAAAGGTTGTAATTCTTATTTTCACTTATTTTCCACTGTTATATAAACAATTTCACAGTATTATAGAATTCCACCGATATACACTATTTATTGTATATTTTTTATATACAACTACAGCTTTACCAATTCTTTTATTTAAAATTTAAAGGCAGTTTTTCAGATAAATATTTTGATTGTTGTATACAAATATGCAATGTTTGTATTGTATTTATATACATGGCAACATGATATGTAGAAATCCACTAATGTGTATCCATCATAGTTCCACCTCAGGTTAAATATATATTAAACTTAAATGACACATCATAATATTGATAATAAACCTTGTTTAAGGTCATATTATATATGACCAGAGACACATCCAATTCAACAAGCTGTGAATGATGTTGAAATGTTTTTTTCACATTTCAAAACATTGTCTTGAATGCTCCATCAAAAATTTTGAAATGTAATGTTCTTTTTGATACATGTGTAATATTTTGGGTTAAAATCCATTTATAATAGTTTGAGGGGTTTTATGCATAAAAACATGGAACTAAAAGGCAAAAAAAAATTATCCATGCTCTGTTTTAAGGGAAGACTTCCATTTCTTTTTTTTTTTCAACAGTTTATTGTAAATGAAAGATAAAGACACTTTTGCCTATGTCAAACTAAAATTGGAAATTCAGTAAAATTCTTATGAAAATAAATTGAAAGTATACCGGTAATTTCTTTGTATCTCCTATCTTTCCAGGAAATTGCATGTTACATGTAAGTCATATGGTTTTGTATACAGGTATGGGAATTGGCTCAGTTATTTGAGCGACTGATCATGACTGTTGATGCAAGGGTCCCAGGTTTGATTACCCGACCAGTCCCTTATTTTCTTTTTTCTTGTTACACAATTTGATGCACTGTCATTGACAACCCAGGTGAAAAACTTGCCTGGGGCAAAAAGAACTTAGCATGGTTTTGTGTTCAGGGCAAAGTCAGGTTAAGGAGGAAGTAATATTTGGTTTGTCCATAAATATTGGCCAAGATGCTTAGTTGGTAGAGCACCTGACTAGTGATGCAGTTTGAACATCTGACTAGTGATGAAAGTAAAGCACCTGAGAGCACCTGACGAGTGATGCAGTTATAGCACCTGACAAGTTATGCAGATAGAGCACCTGACTAGTGATGCAGTTATAGCACCGGACATGTGAGTTGTGATGCATGTAGAGTACCTAACTATTGTTTTAGGTAGAGAATCGGACTAGTGATACAGTTAGAGCTTCTAACTAGTGAAGTAGGTAGAGCACCTGGCAAGTGATACAGGGGTCCTTGATTCAATTCCTGGTCCAACCATACATTTTATCCTTTACTTTACTTACATAAGATTGTTAAGTCCCCATAATTGCCATAGGCGCTCCCCATGTAATTCTGTAAATGACGTATGATAAGTATATATAGGTCTACCCCTCTATACTATAAAATATTTTATAATAATGTGATATTCATGAAAGTAAAAGGCAAGTGAGGACGGTGGATGAGGGATTGATATGTATATCTGTCCACATATATATTAACTACATTTATATGCTTGTTGATTGTTGTGTAAGTAGTTTCTAATGTATTTTGAAGACGTCAATTTTACGCCTTTTGGAAAGCCAATACGTACACAGTACGGAAGCCTTCGTACGTAAGCGTAACGTCGAATGTCTAAATGTGAAAGTGCGCAAAGTTCATTATAAAGATCATTCAATTATGACGTCACAATTTAGCGTTGCGGGAATGTGCAAACCTATCGAATTCAACAGTTATGGAGATTTACTTCAAAGTGATAATTCTTATTCGAAAACATCTTGCAGAATATATGTGAAAATTTGTTTTTAGGCCCATATTAATCAGAGCGCTAATATCGAGAAAAGGTGCAGATGGAGTCACAATTCAAAACGCTGTTGACATGATGCCAGACAAAAAGGCAATGGTAACGTATGTCATGATATTTTAAAGATAACCAGTATCGTAATCGTAAACTCTTCGATGAATTTTGTAATTTATTTTGAAATTGGGGAAGGAGGAAAAGTTTCCTCAAACGGAAAAAGTACTGGATTATAAAGCCTAACATCTATTTTAAGCCTTTATTTTGTTTACCAGAGGGGAAACAAAGAATTTTATTTAAAATTCTGTGTGATAACTTCTACCAAAGTGGTTGTATACTTCCCACTTATTTTTAGGTGGAGTGACCCTCTAAATAAAGAGATAACTTCCCACGAAATTAACTCTATTACGTCCGATCACACTAGATTTTACGCATTTAATTCAAAATCAATAGACGTACATATAAACATTGACTTTTTTTCTTTGCCAATAATATAATAATAGTTATTTATTTGTTATTGGAAAGGATGGTGTACCACAGAGCCACTCGGTAGATTGACAAAAATCAATATATGAATTTTACTCTAATTTTGTCAGTAATTTGTAGAGACCGTTTAGAAAAAATAGCAAGTTTGTTTGTAATATTCTTATAAAGAGAAAAATACAGAGAGGTGTGATAATATATAATTCATCTTTTATTTGTTTGTTTTTCTTTTTTGAAATAATAATTTTGATATTCTTTTAATTCACTGTGTCAATTTTTCTTCATATCAATCATGTTTAGACATAAAGTGAATTTAAAAAAAAACGTAAGCACTGTACATACCGTTTCATAGTTCATACTTTATGCACCATTTGAACGTTATACTTTTGTAATTTATGAAAATCAATGTTGGAAAATTTGGGTGTAAATTTTATCTAAGAACAGTATCGATATACACTTAAAGTATTGGATGATTATTTTTGTAATGCCTATCATAATCACATTTTTTTTCTTTTCGCAAATAGGGGGCATGAAAATCTACAATCACACGATCCTGATGGAACATCCAAATTATAAAAGTTGACCGAAGATATTAAAGATGTAACATGGGAATGCACTTTGTATCATCGTCGCTGATATTTTCCATGATTGTTATTTATAGCATTTGTAATGCTCATCAGGATTCCCAGAAAAGCCAGATTTTATTCGACCACCTCCTTAATTCCTCCAAATACAACCCTGACGTCATACCTATTTGTAGAAACCAGGGGAACGTCACAGCTAAAGTCGGCTTGGCGATACGAGACATAGTAGAATTGATAGAAGTTGAACAGATCATAAAACTGAAAATTTGGATGCGACTAAAGTGGGTCGACTGCATGTTAAAGTGGGACCCAACAAAATTCGACAACCAGACATATATTGTGTTCCCCTCTGACAAAATTTGGATCCCTGATATTACTCTCTTTGAATCAGTTAGTGATGAAGCAAATATGCCTGGAAAGGATTGCTTTAGAGCAATAGTGAATTATAAAGGAGAAGTGGCGTATAACTTTGCTACCATTGTCACGAGCGTGTGCCGAGTAGTTGTTACTTATTTCCCCTTTGACCACCAGATCTGTAGGCTTACCTTTGGTTCGTGGGTCTACTCGGGAACAAAGCTGGATTTGGAAAGATACGGTGTAGAAGCCGATGATGCAATTTTCCAGGATCACAATGAATGGTTTTTAGAGGGATCAACACTAAGGAAAAATGTGCAATACTATTCAAATTGCCCTTTTCCTAACATTTATGTCGACTTTTATCTGAGACGAAAACCATTATTTTATACAGTGACTCTAATATTTCCCTGTTTTATAATCACGGGATTAACTTTCATGGGGTTTGTCCTACCCCCAGTCTCCGGAGAAAAGATTTCCCTTCAGATGACAGTCCTTCTTTCACTAACTGTGTTCCTTTTCCTTGTGCAGGACAAACTTCCGTCAGACTCGGACCACTTTCCTTACCTCGCAATTTACTTTGCCTGTTCCATGGTTTTAGTATGTATGTCGAGTATAATGTCTGCGATAGTTATGCACGTGTACTACAAATCACCAGAAAGACACCAAATGCCCCAATGGGTACGCAAAGTGTTTATAGAAAAACTAAAAAAGTTAGTATTCGTAAAATCGGAGAAAATTTTAAATACGTCAGAAGTAGTTGTCAAGCAGATTCGATGCATGCGCGCAATAGATGAACCAACCGCATTAAAGTACGCTGAAAGCCAACGTGTAAGCAAAGGCGTTCAAAATCATGATCCCAAGACTTTGGAGTCGAATATTGTCGAGGAAAATGGTAGCAACCATGGGACTCCCGTGGATTTTGCCGGAAAGTGCAGCAGGAACTCTTTGGAAAACGCAGAAACACACGGACAAGAAGACGTTGATGTTCAAAGCCCTGACACAAATGACTGGGAACTTCTAGCCTATATTCTTGATCGATTCTTCATGGGACTCTATGTTACCCTGAATGCTATTACTGCTACGACTTTTCTGGCCATTGTGTTCAGCTATGATGGCGGAGGGCATGAGGATTAAACTTTTGAATTATTTCCTTTTTTTTCTACAAAGAATACAAACCTATCTTGAATGAAATGTCTTAAATTATAAATTTTAAAGTAAGAATAGCATTTTGTAAGTTAAACACGATTTAAAACAGGAACTGAAAGTAAAATTTGAGTCCTCATGTGCACAAATTGTTGACCTACAGTCATACGGATACGATGTAATCGGAACACCACTTGGCCTTTTCCGTCAAATCGCGTCTCGAGTTGACGGAAAAGGCCGAGTGATGTTCCGATTGGGATACGATGGAATCAGTTTGAGGCTGCAAGAGAAGTAGCAAAAATTGTTAGTGAACAGTGTACGATTTTGAAACAGGTGGAGTTTTTTTTAACCCATAGAAATATTATAATAGATGGGTTAAAAGATGATAATCGAAACAAGTGCCTGTGATCCAGCAGCATGAATTACCCTTCCTGTACCTTAACCCAGTTTATGTTCCTGCAAAGTATGGTCATGGGACTTTAAGAAAGGACCAGAGCTGACATGTTTGTTAAAAAACCAATACAGGAATGCAAAGAAAAAATACATGATTTTTTAAGAACATACCCCGGTATTGTCAAATTTTGTCAATTTTGGGCTGTAACAAGGGTAATTTTTTGTCAGCAAAGTTTCTCTGGATGAGTTCTCGAGAATTATTTGTTAACTCTGTATTTAATCTATTTTCTCTAAAAGAAACAATTTAGACATGAATTAAGTGAAATAACATGCATTAATGCATTAGTATGTGTATTGGTTTTAATTTGAACTATAGTTGCAATATAAACTGAAAATACAGTAATCTTAATTATTCCTTCCATAGTAGATCTCTTTTTGATGAAAACAGTACACTAGAGGACTGAGCCAAAGTTCATATAGTCCTGTAATTCTACTAATTGGTTTATGTCGCGTCTTCAGAAAAATCTTTCAAAATGCTATTCTTTCTACAGTTATATTTGATTTTAAAACAAATTCTACACTAGTTTAGATATATTTATTCTATAAATGCAACGTATACAATTAAAAAAATATATATTTGATTATCAAGCAACATGCAGGTGCTACTTTTTGTTGTAAAACAAAACAGTAGAGGTACTATAATTTCAGAACAAAAAGTTACTTTAATGAAAAATTTTAAGCAAGAGTAGACTATCTTTGCCAATCTAACTAAAATCAGACTTCTAAGATTCTCACCATATACACTCTTCTTACGCAGAGTGTATACGGCGCGGATCTAAGAAGTCTGATTTTAATTAGAATGCTATCTTTGCCTATAATCAACGATGTTTAGGGAAAAGAAATTTAGTACTTTGAGGTCATTTAGCGCTATTCACAATTCGTGACGTCATAATTACACGTTACGGATTTTCGATTTGAGTTGAAGTAGAAAGGTAAGTTTTATACTTTTTGATGTAATTAACATGCACATTTTAAAGTAGTAAAACACAGCAAAGTGGGATAAAAGAGACTAAGTATACTTGAAAGAAATACTTAGAAAATTAATATAGTTGTTATGTTATAAATGAACATACGTTTGGCCGTTTCAATTTTATGATAAATTTAGGATTAAAACGACATGACGTACAGGGTAGTGAACCATTCTTTTACCCTGAGCTTTTTCTCTTGTCTTTTACAGAATGAATGAAGAAGAAAAACGGTGAAGTTAAACTATTTTTACATGACGAACGAAAATGGATTGGTTCTGCATAACTTTTTCCGTTATTTTCATGAACCTGAACGTTGGGTGTTATGGTCAGGACATTAAACCGGAGAGTTTGGATTTATTTGAATATCTCCTAAATTCTTCCAGATACTCTCCTTATGTGATACCGCTTTGTGGAAACCAAACTCGTGTTACGGTAAAAATTGGGACAGCAATACGTGATATCGTAGAAATGACTGAAACGCACCAAAGGGCCCGCCTGAACATTTGGGTGCGAATGACTTGGACAGACTGCATGTTAAAGTGGGATCCATCTAATTTCCAGAACCAAACAGAAATCATTCTTCCCTTTGGCAGAATCTGGATTCCGGATGTGACCGTGTTTGAAGGAATTAGCAACGAAGCCAACATGCCGGGGTTAGACCAATACCAAGCGGTGGTATCAAACAAAGGCGAAGTCAAATACAATTTCCCGACCATCATAACGAGTGTATGTCGAGTAATCGTAACCTATTTCCCCTTCGACCACCAGGTCTGCAATCTGACTTTCGGTTCTTGGGCGTATAGTGGTACTCACTTAGACTGGCAATCGGACGGGGACGGTACTGATACGTCTCTTTTTCAACTCCATAACGAATGGGAATTGGTCAGAACTAAATCTGTCAGACGAGTAATATATTATATATGTTGTGTAGATCCATATCCTGATGTCTTATTCCATATCCACATCAAACGGAAACCGATATTTTACTTGGTGACCATCATATTTCCCAGCTTTCTGATCACAAGTCTAGCTCTAATGGGGTTTGTCTTACCACCCGTTTCCGGAGAGAGAATTGCTCTGCAAATGACCGTGCTATTATCGTTGTCCGTTTTCCTTGTCCTTCTTCAAGAGAAGTTGCCCTCCGACTCAGACCATATACCGTACCTTGCTATGTATTTTTCGATTTCTATGCTCCTAGTGTGTGTAGCGTGTATAATGTCAGGAATAGTTTTGTATGTACATTATAGATCACCAACGGAAAAAGAAATGTCTTCTTGGATTCATAGCATTTTTATGGAAAAACTTCGGAAAATAATGAGAATAGCAGCAACGGAAGTCCTGACGACACCGGAAGTTATCAGCAAGCAGATGCGCAGTATGCATGTTATAAATGAGCTTGACGAAAGTAAATCTGAATTAAAACGCTCTAAAGCAGGCATATCAATGTTTTCAGAGGAAGGAATTCTAAAAATTTTGGATTTTCGTGATTCTAAACACGATGACATAGGACATGAAAGCCAAAAGAACATTGAAACACCGAATGTAACAGAGAAATTGGTTATGGCTGACTGGGAACTTCTGGCATTTATTCTTGATCGGTTCTTTATGTGGATTTATCTTCTGATGAATGTTGTGAACGGAATAGCATTCCTTGTTATTATTACAAGTTACGATGGGGATGATCAGATTGCCTAGCTTTCAAAACTGTCCAGTAGTTATAATTTTTTTTTAAAGATTATTCATGTTATTTGAAATTGTCTTTAAACCGTTTAAAAACATATTGCATTTAGAAAACAAGAAATTTTTTTCTAGAATGTGTTAGTAAAATATGTGGGATTGTTTTAAATAAAAGAAAATGCTTTCTTTGGTTGTTGGTACGGGAATTAATGTCGCATCTGTTGCAAAAAGATGTTTGAAACAAAGATGCCTCCATATAGCAGATTATGGCAAAGGTTGAAATTTCTCAATTGTAAGTCAAACGCCAAGGTTAATGTCAAAAGGTCAAACTGTTGTTATCTAGAAGAAGGTCTTGTCAGAAAAATACATATTGTCACAAAATAACACATCACAATAATACACAAATATGATAGCCTGGTACTAATTGTTCAAAAAGTAATGACCGAAGAAAGGTTTTTTTCACAAGGAATACATTGTACACCTGCGAAATATGAAAGACATAGACCTGCCCACTCAAGAATGGGCAATGTTAACGCTTTTGCGGACAAACAGACAGACGGACAAGGTAAAAACTTTGTTAACCCAATTCTTCGATTACGGAATATAAAAAAAACAAAATGATACCCCCGCCTCCCACATGGTTATGGCAAAGTTCATATTTTGCTGTGGCCGGGAAACCCAAAATATGTGTCGGATCAAAAAGTAAAATATTAGGTGCATAATGGCAATATGTAATAAAGATTCTGTGAAAGTTTCATTAAATTTCACTCAGTGGTATAAGAGGAGTTGCGGATAAGAGATAGTTACCCCAAAGCGTGACAGTAGACGGACGGACGGACATACCGATTACTATATACTCTCCCAATTTTCAAACGGGGGTTATAATAAACCGCGTAAACGGATTATGTCACTTTTTCTGCTATAGCGCTGCAATGTTAATTTTCGTTCTAACAAGGCAGTATTTTGAAGAAAAATAACCCAATCATAGTCTTTTTTAAATCTTCTCAAGAACAGCTAAGCCTTAATCAGTCATATTTATATGGTAGCACCCATAGGTAGTGTAAATTCAAATTTGTTCAAATCATTACGCCTGGGGGTAAGGCAATCGAAGATTTAAATCTTTTCATAACTTTAAAGAACTCTCCAACAAAACATTATACATATGAACTTTTTTTTCTCCTTTTCGTTGAATAGTGCAAAAACATGCATTCTGTTACCGTGGTCATCCTACAATGTTAGCGTGTGCGAATGAAGGTGGGTGAGTGTTGAAGTTTTATATGTGAGAGGTTAAAACACAAAACAATTCATAAAATTTTTTTATTTCAAAATAAACTGATGTAGGAAAAGTATAAATCTATCTCTAAAGTTGAATCATTTTTCCCTACGGTCAAATATGAGACATACTAGTAACCGAAACACTGTTTTTGTACGATTTGAAAGGGGGGAAGTTACACTGAAATTTATTTCAATATGGTTCACTCAACTATATCTCCTTTCATTTTTTTTCACACGCAAGTCTTCAAGATAATTATAGAATCAAACAACAAAAATGATTAAATACAGTATAAAAAGGCATAGAATAAAGTCAAGTTTTTCATCTCTCGTAAATTACAAGAAAAACAAACTCATTTGATCAAAAGCAACCTGAAAATTCCATCTTTAAAAACCCTTTCTTTTGCTTGTTACATCTCGACACCATTTTAACACAATTGTCGTGCCATTCTTGTACCCTGATCTTTGGGTCTGATAATTTAAAAAAACCCAACTATGTAATGTACATCTTTACAGGTGCATGAAAATACAAGATGATTGAAATAGAGATTTAGATTAAAATACCGAGTAGACATCCATGACATATTTTCCTTCACTGTTATATTGAACTAAAAAGGTTTAATGATTTTTTTCCCATTTGAAGATACATTGACAATGTAAAGGGATAACTTTATAGATTCACTTTATGCATAAAATGACCCTATTTCATATATCAAAACAAGATGTGTTTGTAAAACACCGATGTCCCCGTATGGCAACACAGCAAAGATGTAAACTTTTCTTAAATGCAAATTTAATGTATTGGTACCAAAAGTAAGGTATTCTCACTGGAAATACAAGTGTGAAATATGAAAGTAGGCCAATGTTAAAGTTTTTTCCCATTGACCTTGGAGTTTGACCTACATTTTAAAATTTTTAACCTTAGCCATAACTTCTAAACGGCAATACTAGGACTTTCATACTTTACATATGTATCCTTTGTGGCAAGACCTTTCATTGCATATTAATTACCTTGACATTTTGACTTTGAACTGTAGAGTTTTGTATAAAAAAAATTTAACCTTCGCTGCAACTTTTGACCGCTAAAGGTTAGTAATCTCATACTTTACATAAGTAATTCTTGTGGGAAGGCCCTTCATTGGATTCAAAGAAATTTGACTCTTTGACCTTGGAGTTTGACCTACTTTAAAAACCCAACCTTGACCATAACTTTCAAAGGGTTAGGGATAGTGCTTTCATACTTTACATATTTCATCCTTGTGAGAAGACCTTTCATTTAATTGCTAGCAAGACCTTTGACCCTTGATTTGGTCCTTGACTTGGAGTTGGACCTACTTTTAAAATGTTTAATCCTGGCCATAACTTTTGAAGGGTTAGGGCTAGGGCTTCCATACTTCACATATGTAATATTTGTGGCAAGACCTTTCATTGGATACCAATTACATGTTCCTTGATCTTTTGACCTTGATCTTGCAGATTTCCGTACTTATGAAAAAAACATAAACCTTGGTCTACTTTCATACTTCAGAATTGTATTTCCAGTGAGTTTGCATTTAAGAAAAGTTTAATCTTCGCTATGTTACCATACGGGGAGCATCAGTGTTTTATAAATACATCTTGTTTTTTTTATTAAATCTGGGAGTCGACACAACTTTTTCCTGTTTTTGTAGTCTAATAAGCAGTGATTTATATCGAAAATGTTACCCTTTTGTCTCTATAAGCCGATTTAAATATATCTTTTTCAAATGATACCTAAACAGAGTCATGTATCAGTAAAACTTATTTTTACTATAAATGTGCATTTAATAAGTTACAAAATCGTGGTGTTGAAGTGGAAAAAATTGGGGTTCACAAAAGTCGCACGGCCCATAAAATGAATTTAATTGGATATAGCGTTCACTCTATACAATTAACTTAGTACACTTTTTAAATGTAAGAAATTAAGCCGATAAAAATAACCTGGCGGAGGGGTAAGGAAAAATTATGGCATGGTACATATTGTCAGATGCTTGACGGGAAAAATTCCTTGCCAATTTCATGCAAATTATTTTTAAACACATTCTTTCACCCATTTCTTAAATCTTTAGACCATGAAAATAGACACACAAATGTAATATGTTTCAAACAGGTATGCAATTTAATAGAAAAGTACGGTGTAGTAATACGACCAACTCGCAGTTTCAACTAGAGGGACTATGTTAAGGCAACAATGCCAACGTTATGTAACTTTATCGCATGTTAACCCCCTTTTTAATTTTCCCATGGATATGACCCATGGGATATTTTTTCATATAACATGGCAAAATGAAAAAGATTACGTTGAAGAGAACATACGTGTATTCGCAATATATCACTATCCCTACTTCCTTCGTTGTATTACCTTAGAAGTCTCGCCTCATTGCTTTAAAAATGAAGCCTTAAGGTCCAAACAGTCCACCGTAGAAGTGCAAATCATGCAGGTTTCATATTCAGGTTTTTAAAATTTTTCGTCAAGAAAAATTCGGTAAGAGGAAGAAATTCAAAGACAGAGCGGGGCACTGCATGTTGAAAGTTTTAATGACGTCCATTGAAAATGAAAGATATAAGACGTACCTTCGTTTTAATTGTTTCGAGTTTTGCCATTTTCATAGGACTGTGTAACTGTCAAGAGAGCCGAGGTACGAATTTGGATTTATACAATTATTTATTAAGTCTATCTAGATACAATCCTAGCATTATACCGAGATGTGGGAAGGAGACCCGTGTGACAGTTGAGATTGGAATGGCACTGAGAGATATTGTGGAAGTCTGGGAAAAACAACAACTGATTCGTCTCAAAATTTGGGTTCGTATGAAATGGAGGGACTGCATGCTTCAGTGGGATCCGCTACAGTTTCAAAACCAGACCGAGTTAGTTGTACCCTATTCTAAAATCTGGATCCCGGATATAACCCTGTATGAAGGGGTCAGTGATGAAGGGAATATGCCTGACATGGAGGATTACAGGGCTAGTATAAATCACACGGGGTATGTGACGTATAATTTCCCCAGCATTGTGACAGTGGTGTGTAGATTCAATGTGGCGTACTTCCCTTTCGATCACCAAGTATGTAGTATGAAGTTTGGTTCCTGGATTTACTCGGGGAAAAACATTGACTTGAATATTACTAGCAAAGTAGTGGATGTTTCTAGTTTTCATACCCATAACGAATGGGACGTTATAAAAACAGCAGCAGTGAGACATAATATTTACTATGGGTGCTGCCCTGATCCATATCCAGATGTCACTTTTTATATTCATATCCGAAGAAAGCCCTTTTTCTACGCAGTTACAATCATTTTTCCTTGCATTTTGATTAACTTGTTAAGTTTTCTTGGATTTGTACTTCCGCCATTTTCTGGAGAGAAAATTTCCCTACAAGTTACGGTGCTCTTGTCTATAACTGTGTTCCTATTGCTTGTACAAGACAAATTTCCCTCAGCAGCTGAAAACTTTCCGCTTCTCGCCATGTATTTCTCTTTATGCATGGTACTTGTATGTGTCTCGTGTGTTTTGTCTAGCATTGTCTTACACGTTTATAACAGGTCGCCGCATGACCATCCAATATCTCCTTTTATACGATCTGTTTTCTTGGACAAATTTCGTCAAATCTTGTGCATAAAATCAGACATGGTCTTAAAGAATGATGAGCTCGTTCAGATTTCCAAAATCCGTGGCTTAGAAACGAAGAAGGATCTCCATCAACAAGAATGCATGGAACTGCACAAAGGAGAACTACACGAAGGGGAATTGCACAAACGTGGACTGCACAAAGACGAACGACCCAAAGATTGTAGGAAACTTTCATTAGCAAAGGGGGATATTCCGGAATACTCTCCAGATATAAATGACCATTCTTTCTTCGACCATCGAAGGTGCCATATCACGAACGAATGGGAACTATTTGCTTTTGTTTTGGATCGATTTTTCATGTTAATTTATTTGTGCCTGACCTTAGGAAACAGCATTGTTTTTATTTCAATTATGGGAAATTACGATGGAAATGATATCCCAATGGAATAGATAACTTCCTTTGTTGAATTCACAATACCAAAGATTAGTTTCTCTAAAACATTTATTGTCCATAGTTAATGCATGTATGAAGATTAAGAAATAGTGAATTACATGCCCAGCAGTCAATGATGAGACACCCATACCGAAGCACCCACGTCTTTCAACGCTTTAGTACATGTAAATACTGTATTGAATATAAACAAATCAGTTTTAAAATTAAGTACATGTTCGAATGAAGAGGATATTTTTTTTATCAAGTCTATTTCGTGTCATTTATGTGTTTTATTAAACCAATATTCTTTATTTTTCTTTTGCTTTTAAAAATAAGACTTCCCGGAACTCGCTTTGTCATACTCTACCCAGAATAAGGCTGTACAGGCATGATGCTATTGTAGAATAATTTACGAAATTCGAACACTGGTTTTATTTGACATCTCGGTATCAGGATTCTTTTCTTTATAGTGTATCTCGTTAACAGTTGTCAAAATGAATAGGCTCAAGTATTCAAATATGATATTAAAGTAAAGAACATGAAAGAGGAAGTTTAAATTTGTGAAATCTTGTTAAAACCAGAATAACTGGATGTAACAATGAAGTCTGGTCAGATTACGGTGAAAGAGTCATAATGGACGTATCGCTTTTTAACAAAGAAATCGAGCATTGCGTACGTGTTAACTTGATATTCTGGTCTAATTTCCTACCTTGTTAGATGAGAATGAAAAAAATGATAAAAAATATATATATATAATTTCAGTTTTGTAGTTTGAAAGTTAAAAAATCTCAAATTAGATGGAGTCAAGGATAAAATATGGATTAAAGACGAAATGACATTTCATTATTTAATAATTTTTGGAGTCCCTATTAACGAGATTATGTATACAAATTGAGGGACAGAAGTCAAACTTTTGTTAAGTTTTGCAAATAAGACATATATGTACATGAAGCTGTGATGAAATGATGTTAATTAGTAAAACTTATCCTAATATTAATCAACTTTTAAACAATATATTATCTAATGAACAAATGAGACGTAAACAAGACATACACTGTGGAATATAAAAAAAGCATATCTTAAGAACAGATGATACAAACAAACAAAATGGATTCCTGGATTGGTGTATACATGTATTTTTTTTATATATAATTTCATTGCATATAATATAAAGAAATTGTCAACCTTCTGTGATGTACAATTCTACCCTTCTAAATCCATCCTTATTATTCTATACAAATATTTTTCATTTCAAATTTAATTTTTGTGCAACTCCGAATAAAACCTTAAAAACTACGCGGTGAAACTTCATTTTATTCATTAAATCATGACACAAGTTGTTTTTTTCATTTCAATTGACAAAAGTTTGTATTGTTTGTCCTTAAATGCAAGTAATAAGAAATTGACGCATATTATTGTTGAATTAAAAAAAAAAATCTTCTGTTGAATATTATTAGTAGCATAATAAACTGCAAATTATGTAAATACCTCCCAGGTATACAATCTGCAATATACGAGGAAAAAAAAACCCTGAAACAGTCATTCTGATGAGTAAGAAACCTTAAGTCTCATTCATTGTTAACAAAGGGTATTCATTTATTTACGATTTTCTCCCTATCTATTTTATACTGAGAACTTCGAACAATCGGATTTTAACCTGATTATTTGCACACCTACATTTGAAAACACATTTAAAAATAAGAAACGTAATCTGTCTTCTTGAAGTGGACAGTTGAATTTGTAGAAAGTTGGTGTAAAATGGAAATAATCATTAAGGTATTATTGTTGTTTCAACTAATTTTTCTTTGTTTGTGTCATTGCCAAAGCAACACGAATTCAAATTTGGATTTATACTATCATCTTTTAGACTCTTCTAAATATATTTCAAAAATCATACCAATGTGCGGAAAAGAGGAAAAAGTAACTGTTAGAATTGCAATGGCATTGAGAGACATTGTAGAAGTTAAAGAAAAACAACAGCTAATCCGCCTGAAAATATGGGTTCGTTTGAAATGGAGAGACTGCAAACTGCAATGGGATCCGCCAAAGTTTCAGAATCAGACCGAATTGGTTGTACCGTATTCCGAAATTTGGATTCCCGATATAACCCTTTATGAAGGAGTAAGCGATGAAGGAAATATGCCTGATATGGATGACTACAGAGCTAGCATAAGTTATACAGGGGACGTGACGTACAATTTTCCGAGTATTGTGACAGTCGTATGCAAATTCAATGTGGCATACTTTCCTTTCGATCACCAAATGTGCAGCATGAAGTTCGGTTCCTGGATATATTCGGGAAGGAATATTGACTTGGAGAAAATCACGGACAAGGTTGACATTTCTAGTTTCCGTAAGCATAATGAATGGGATGTGGTTGAAACCGCTGCAGTTAGACACATCATTTACTATGGTTGCTGCCCAGACCCTTTTCCGGATGTCACGTTTCATATTCATATCAGAAGAAATCCTTTATTTTATGTGATAACGATTATTTTTCCATGTAGTTTGATTAATCTTCTGTCCCTTATGGGTTTTGTTCTCCCTCCATTTTCCGGAGAAAAGATTTCAATACCGATAACGGTTCTCCTCTCAACGACAGTGTTCTTGTTGCTCGTGCAAGACAAATTTCCATCGGCGTCTGAAGATTTTCCCCTTCTTGCTATGTATTTTGCAATTTGTATGCTACTGGTATGCATCTCGTGTGTGTTTTCCAGTGTAGTTTTGCACGTTTATAATAGATCACCCGAAGAACACCAGATTTCTCCACTATTTCGTGCAATTTTCTTGGACAAGGTCAGAAAAATCATGTGTGTGAAATTTGATAAAGTCATTAGAGACGATGAACTTGTTCAAATCAAGGACATTCGTTACTTAGAGAAGGAACCAAAAGATATTACTCAACAACAATGTGTAGAAAAGCGCAGAGAAGAGCCTTATTTAGGCAGAAAACTGTCGTCTGGAAAAGCGGAAATTCCAGACTATCCCTGCGAAAATAATTCCCATGCTTCTTATGATCAACAAAAGGGCCATATTACCAACGAATGGGAGCTCTTTGCATGCATTTTGGATCGCCTTTTCATGTTCGTCTATTTGTGTTTAGCTTTGGCCAATTGCATTGTTTTTACAATTCTTATGATCAAGTACGAAGGACAAGACATTCTTATGTAATTGATGCTTTTTCCAATTGTTTTATTATTTGAAGTGCCTTTCCCACGTTCAAAAAATAAATACTGTAAAACTCTATTGTAAATAAGAAACAAATTAGATTTTCATTTTTATACCCATATAAAGCCAATATATAAAATTGTGCTAATTTGCAACGCAAAAAAATACATTTATTGTTACGTTCAAAGTAAAAGAGGACATCATGCCAAAAAAATATGTAAATTTCTCAAATATGCAATTCAAGTGAAAAATAACAAGTAGGCACATCCTATGTATTGCTTTTAACAACTTACGTCTACCTTTCTTTAAAATAAGGTGCATCAAAGCTTTTCGGATATTGATACATGTATTATAGCGTTATGAGTAAACATAAATCATTGTGTTTTTTCTTTTGTTTTCTTTGTTTGTTTTGGTGTTGCACATACATGTGCATTTAATATTCACAGCTGTTTAAATCCGCTTTTGCATTTTTTTAACTTTTTTTTTGGCTTGAGTGAATATTTGTAGAAAATCCAAAGAAGAAAAAACTTTGGTTCCCTAAGATCCACTCAAAGATCTAGATAGATATTATCATCAGGCGCTACATGGGTGGTCTCTTCGTTTTATCATTTAAAATTATTGTTACTTCTTCTTAACATTATAGAGACTTCCGTATGCACATGGTTAATTCTTATATTTGAATTTATTCCTTCAATATATTTTGAATATGGAATTATTATACAGCAATAATTAAATATACATTCTCTCTGTTGAGGAATTTCATCAACCTTGTTTAAAGGTAGCATTTCGTAAATTGTATGGTCGCTACAATGAACTTATTTAGTAATATACTATAAGCGCTTGGTATTTTGGTTGATTTGTATCATGCCAATTGTTAGACCTTTGTTTTTGTATTAATGCTTTGTCAACTTGATCAATACATAGGCTCACGGCGGGCTTGTTCGTCAACAGGGTATGTTTACTCTTTCTAGGTACCTGATCTAACCTCTTCAATTTCCATCAGTCCATGTTTTTGTAATCTTCACGTAATTATATGCCTCGTTTGTAGTTTGTATGAATTCCACTGTACACAAAGAGCTAATCGGAAATCTACTTGATTTGGATTACTAGCTATATTGCTTTGGGTATTTCAAATTTTCTGCCTTCATTTGTAGACAAAAAGCCATACGCCTTTTAAAAAACATAAAATAAAACATTGTCACCAAATATCACACCCTATTACCGGCAACTGAAACTGCAGATGCAACTGGGGCAACAACGGTAAAGTTGTTTTTCACTATGAAAGAGACCTAATTGATATCATATTTTTTACTATTTATAACATTCATTTAATTTCGTTTGGTGGTTTTCCGTTTTGATTTTACCTTAAACTATTTTTTGTTGAATACAAAACTATGATTTCTTATAAAAACAAAATAAGAACAGAATAAAGTTGAATTTCAATACTTGTTCAAGAAAAATTTTTCAAACTAAGCCTTGGAAATAAGACTTCTACTCCACGGTGCATTTCTTGTGGTATATGATAAATTTAGGCTCTTTATGGCATAACTGCATCATATGGATAGTCTTTATTGTTTAATAAGTGTGCTGCAAGCGTTTGATTTCTATGGGTCAAGTGATTTTGGCTGTCTTGAACAGCAGATAATCGTTAACATGGCAAAAATGACAGATGATGGCAATCGGTAACACCTTTATTTTAATTTAGATTTCACTTTTATAATGATTTTTAAAATACCAAATTCATTGACAAAAATTTCACTAGTTGTTAGATATCTCTTAATTGTATAATTTGTTATTTCAGAAGATGAATGCCTTATAAAACAATAAAGTCTTTCTGCAAACATTTGCTGCAAGTCTGCAGCAGACATTGCTGCAAACTTGCTACAGATGTTGCTGCAAATTTGCTGCAATGAAGCTAAAGAAAACACAAATTTCAAAGCATTTTTATTTTACTAGTGTATATTTTTCATCAAGCTCGTGTATAAAATCGTAATCGTTGTGCAGAACATAATTTTGAAGCAATCGGCGTGCCATAATATGTAATCCTACTATTGAAACGTCCCCCATTGTTAGAATAATCACATCCTTTTTGAATGCTGAAAAATCTAGTCCTATAACATTTTTTAATCAATCAATTGAAATGTCTCTTTCTCCGTAGTTCCATATGATGATGATGAAGAAAACA